CCAGCTCGGCCGAGAGGAGTACCGCGGAGTCGACGGGGGAGCCTGCCTGCCGAGTGTGGACCAAGGTAAGTTTCAACTAATTCGAAATAAGGTACTTCGAACTTCAGCTACGTTATTCACGTAGCTGAAGTTGCGTACCTTAGTTCGAATTAGGGGGGGTAGTGTAGACCAAGCCTTAGAGTATCAGACAAGACTACTTTCAGGACAAGCTGCAGCAAAAGGGAATACAAGAGCCCAATTCTTTAAAAATCCTTCATAGGTGATTTCCCCCCCCACATATTTATTACTTAGGAGATAAAAATAAAATATAAATGCAAATAAATCTACAAGTTCTATATTGCCCAACTGACAGAGTACCAACTAATGAGTCAATCTTTCCTAAAGGTATAATTAACAGTTATTCATAAAATTGCCCATAGGGACACTATCAAATTAAAAGTCATGTTTGTAGGGTTTTTTTTGCTGGTTACTAATACCTTAGACTGATCATATGTTTAAAAAGACATTTACTTTTCACAGTTTATGTTCTATTTTTTGCACCATATTCATCTTCACAAATGACTAGTATAATCAGTTTAACGATCTAGCTCTCATGCACTAAGAGCAATTCTGCACTAAGTATACTGTAGAGGCATGTATAAATTCAAGTGAAACTTTTCATATGAAGTCTTAAAACCCACAAAGAAAGGTTTCTATTATTTTTCAGGGTTTGTTTTTTTTTTAATAAAAAAGAGGGTTTGTTTCTTTAAAAACTAAGCCCAAATTTCAAGCCTAAACTATTCAGCAGTACCTATTTAAAGAACGGAGATATTTTAATATTTACACATACGTTTTTAAAGGAATACCATTTACAGAATGGCTTACACATTTTTCCAAACCCACCCCTTGTCTTACATGCCATGGTAGAATATTAACTACCAATAGTTAAGTACTTAACCTGTGTTGCTTCACCTGCCCATAGTGCTTCTCCAGATGGAAATTGACAAGCAGTTGCGCTCCACTGGGTAAGCTCTGCATGTCGTAGTCATTGGGGATGCTCTACGCCGAACAAAGTATAGGTGAAGGAGAGAGAGAGGAGAAACAATGACCTATCAGCAACAGATGATCAGGTCAGTTCATGGGCTCTTGCACATAGCTGTTCCCTCATGGTTCTAGGAGCAGAGTGATTCCACTAGGGCAGTTCTCCACTGTTATAGCCTGACAGCAGTTTACATGAAGAGTAAGCATGTCTATCTAGAGATGTTTTTAGAATGGAAGCGTTTGATCCTTTATGAAGAGTCACACTGTCTGCTTTTACCATCTCATCTCCCCCACCACTCCTTGTATGTTTCTCTTTTCCTGTGGGATCTCTCTCCACCACCAGTGGCCCTGGTCTCACCGGCAGCTCCTAGAGTCTCCAGCTGGTGGCTGGCATCTCCAACCTGAGGGTAGCTGCTGTTTCCTCTCCTATGTAGCAGCAGCCTCTATAGGAGGTAGCTAGGTTTGCTCCTTCTTCCAACTGCTGTTACAGGCATCAAGCGACTGGACAACTGTAGAAGCAGCTGCAAGTATGGAAGAGTTAGCACCATGTGGTCAGTTTGCTCTCCATTGAGCAGTACGAGTACTACTGCACTGAGGATTACAGCAGTTCCCCCCGTTGGACCCACTGGGAAGGCACTTTAAGGAGTACCACAACTAAAGATGAGATTTTCCTGTAAGAGAAGCTTAGAAACAACTACCAAGGGTGTAGACTGGGGGGGGAGGGAATGACAGACAGAGGAGAGAAGAGACAGCGGGAAAGTGGGTGGAAGCCTAGAATTCCTACATCTCTTCAAGTCATTGGTCTAGGCCAAAATCACCATCAACAGCCCTTATGTATCTTCATGGAACATTTTAACGAGAGGGGGAATTAACACCAATGTTCTAGACAAATTCTAAGAGCAATGATGATCACAGCATTGACAGGCTGCCTACTTGCTGCTTCACTGGCAAACAGTATCACTCCACTCCTGGCTTATTTAGCTTAATGTCTTTCAAACAAATTGTAACCCAATATTCTTTTACAGAGAAAAAAAAGTTTTACCCAAATAATGATAGGGAGAAATGAATTAATAGGTGTAAACAAGGAAGTAGAGACACATTGTCCAAGCCCAAATTCTATCTTCTCGCAATTTAAGAGCTTACTGTTATTTAGCTTGGCCACTCTCTGAAAATTGAAGATGCTAGTGTACTTCTCACAAGAATAGTAACTCCCCCCTCCACCTCCATGTCACAGACAATTCCTCTTCCCTCACCATGCAGCTGTGTGCACCATACTGGTTACCTGCCTACACTACCACCCAATTGATGACCGCATTTCAGTGGTGCTGCAACTTTGGGATTCTTCAGAATGAAAGGCACTATAGAAATGTAAGCTACTGCACTTTAACCTGTCTGGCCATTCAATGTCAGACCTGCGGGTGGCTATCTTACAACAGAAAAACTTCAAAAACAGACTCCGAGAGACTGCTGAGCTGGAATTGATATGCAAACTAGACACAATCAACTCAGGATTGAATAAGGACTGGGAATGGCTGAGCCATTACAAACATTGAATCTATCTCCCCTTGTAAGTATGCTCACACTTCTTATCAAACTGTCTCTACTGGGCTAGCTTGATTATCACTTCAAAAGTTTTTTTTTTCCTTCTTCTTACTTAATTGGCCTCTCAGAGTTGGTAAGACAACTCCCACCTGTTCATGCTCTCTGTATGTATATATATCTCCTCAATATTTATTCCACTCTATATGCATCCGAAGAAGTGGGCTGTAGTCCACGAAAGTTTATGCTCTAATAAATTTGTTAGTCTCTAAGGTGCCACAAGTACTCCTGTTCTTTGATCTGGCTACTGAAGATCAAACATGGGTGACTGTTTCACTTCAAATATCAAAGGGAATACTTGGTAATACTAAAACCAGGCACATTATTGTCAAGGATATAGAGAGGAATCATGCTTCTTGTCAGCCTCTGGTTAGAGATACCAGCTCTTTAGCTAAGGAATTTAATGTTGCGCATTTCAGAGAATCAAGTACCAGCTACCTGACCAGCCACATCACCTGCAGCAGGTGATGAGCCAGACCCCACCCATCATCACCACACTTTGCAAGTGTCACTGCGTCTCTCTAAAGCAAGATTTCGTTGGCATCGGTCACAAGAGCGGGCGAGTCCTCTGCAAAACTTCCAGCACCTTCCCTATGGGTCCTTGGTTTCCAGCTACCTTTGGAGGCAGGAATCCGGACTCTAAGCCACAGCCGGAACTTGTATTATTCTTCGGCATGTGATGAAGATCACGCCCAGAGGCCCCGATCCATTGCCACAGAATCCCGACACGTTCGTCGGGGGGGGGGGGTTTAAAACGCGGTCAGAGGCACGTGCGAGTCCCCAGCCCCAAGCCCCTGACCCGACACAGCCCCCCCCCGAAGAGCTGGGGCGCGGGGCGGGCCCATCCAACAGGAGACACGAGCCTGCCCCCTTGGACCCCCCCAATAGAAAGGGGGGCGCACGTGGGCCCCCAGCTGCCTATCCCGCCGGGCCGGGCGGGGCCGAGGAGGGAGGGACCGGGAGGCCCCAGCAGGAATGAGGACACGGCCCCTTTAAGGGGCCTAGCAGGCGCTCAGGGGCCCGGGCTCTTCGCTGCCGCCCGGCTGAGCCCACCTGGGCGGGGTCCCCTGGCCAGGCCGCGCTGCCTAGCCCGCCCCCCGCGCACGCGGCCGGGCCCCGGCCCATCCTCACCCCGCTGTCAGCCGCCTCCTCCCAGCTCTCCGCGACCTCCTCATCTTCCATTTTAACTCTCCTCCGCCGCCGCCGCGCCAGCCCGCCCCCCGCGCATGCGCACTGCCCGCGCAAGCGATCGGCGCGCCCGCGGCCGCTATCTCAGCACATGCGCGTGGGGAATTTACCTCGGCCCCCTTTCTGCACGTGCGCACCACTGCCCGCCCCCCGGACATGCGCACTGGACAGCCAGCTGCCCGCCGCATGGCTGAGTGAGGCGGGGTGTGGACTCTCTGCGGGCAGCCGGCCCAGGAACACACCTGCTCCCCCCCCCCGGCCCCAGGAACACACCTGTTCCCCCCCGGCCCAGGAACACACCTGTCCTCCGTCCCCGCAGCCTGTCCCCCGGCCCATGAACACACCTGTCCCCCCGCTAGCCACAGGGAGCCGGCCCATGAACACACTATTATCCCTCTCCCGGGCCATTAACACACCTGTTCCCCCCGGCCTATTAACACAACGGTGCCCCCGCTAGCCACAGGCAGGCAGCCCACGAACACACCTGTCCTCCATCCCCGCTGCCACACACCTGTCCCCCGTCCCCCCCGCCACAGGCAGCCGGCCCATGAACACACCTGCCCCCCTCCCCCAGC